CTGGCCCCCCCGCCCCCAGCCACTAGCCAAGCCAGGCTGAGGCAAGGGGCTGGCACTGTATTTTCATGGCCTGGTAAACTACCTTGTTTGGGACTGGTCAGGTATCGAAGGTGCTGAACTATAGGTCCAACCTATAGTACTTTGCTCTTACATGAGAATGCCTTTTATCCAAGAACATCAAAGAGATTTACATAACTTAATTGCACAACATCCTTGTAAAATAGATAAACATTATTAATCACACTTCTCAGGAGGAAACTCAGACACAGCGAGATGACTTGCTCAAAGTGACTGGACATGTGTGTCAGAGCTGGGACTAGATCTCAGGACTCCCCCTATCCAGTTATAGGCTGGAGCCACAAGATTGCCCTACTTCTCCTAAGGCAGTGGATAAGTAGTAGTGCTCAAGTTACCTCTGATTCACATATCACCACAGCAATTTATTTTTTTAAATTAAAGTTCTATTCTTTTTTAAAATTTAACCAATAAACACATAGGGATTACAGAGTTCTATGTTCCTAAAGCTTATGTTTTGGAATGGTCAGGAACTGATACTTCCATCCCCATCGTTATCCCCACATATTCAAGGGAGTATTTAAAATAAAACTACTTCCTCTGTAGTATCAAGGATAGACACATCTGGAGATAGGACACTGTATGGGGTTAATCAGGGCTCTGAGTTGGTGCCAAGCATTCTCTCTCAGGCCTGGCTAAGTGGTTCTTGCTCACATGTTCAACGTATAACTGACTGTCTTTTAAAGTATTGGGAAGAAATTCCCCCAAAACCAGCTTGGCAGTGGACTTGGGGGTGAGTGGGTTTCCTCAGCAGTGAGGAGTGCAGATCACTTGCCAAGATTATCTGAGTCTTGATTATCTGAGTCAAGAGTATCTCATTTAACTAGCTCCCTGCCACTGCAGGACATGCCCACTGATAACGGGAAACAAGAGAAGGTTACTCACCTCGATAGTAACTGACATTCTTTGAGATGAGTGTCCCCGTGGATGCTCCACATTAGGTCAGTGTGCTGCCACTGAGCCTTAAATCAGACATTTCAGAGCAGTGTCTCTGGGGCCGCATATGCACATGCCTGCAGCTACACGCTCTTAGCTTGCAGTCATTGCACATGCATAATTCCCCCACTCCGCTCCTCGGTTCCTTCTGTACCCCAGAATGATGCCATGGGAAGACCAGAATCCCAAAGTAGAAGGGAGAAAGGGAGAGTTGTGGAGCACCCATGGGGACATTCATCTCAAAGAACATCAGTTACTGTCGAGGTGAGTAACCTCCTCCTCTTCTTCAGAAGATGTCCCCATAGGTGCTTCACATTAGGTGACTACAAAGCTATTTCTGGTTAGGGATTACAGATCTGGCAGAAAAGCAGTGGAAAAGACTGCCTTAGTGAATTTCAGGTTGGAGAGAGGTTCCAATCACACCCGTGTGCAAAAGGTGCTCTAGATCTTGCTTAAATAGAGCCTTGTGGAGTGGTCCCTGAAGATAGGCCACAAAAGGACTTGGAAGGGGGTAGAGACATGAAGGGATAGCCTTTCTAAATGACCTGGAGGATCCAGTTGTTAGAGGTGATATGTTGCCAGTTAAAGAAGGGTAGTAGTCGATAATGAAATGATGGTGTTGATATAGGTGAGAGGCTCTCATGACCCTTGTCCTGATATTCAAAATTGCTTATTGGACTACTGCGACTGTTGGGAGTCAGTAGAGGAAGGGTGTCATTGTTTTATTCCACCTCTGTTCTGTTGGTGCTGGTCTGCTGTAATGTTGGGCATATAGAGGGTATCGAGGTTTCAGGAAGGGCTGATACCAAAATTGTCTTCTACCACGTGCCTGGTTGTAGATTCCCAAGGACTGAAGCATTACTCTGGAGTCTTTCACGGAGTGGAGAATTTCGCTGATGTTAGCGGCAAACAACTTCTGATCATTGAAAGGAAGCTCTTCCACTGTACAATGAATCTCTCTGGGGAATGGAATGGAATTAAACTATGAAGCCCTTTTCATGACTACTTCTGTTGCTGTGAATCATGCAGCCTCATCAGCATTGTCCAATGCAGCTTGCAATGCTGTTCTGCCAATCGTGTGACCCTCCAATACCAGTGCTTTGTACTGTTCTCTTTTAGCCTCAGGAATCTCTGCGATAAAGTTTGGTGTAACTTCAGTAGTCCTATATGCCTAAAGCCATATAGAAATGTGAAATTGTAAAGTAGAAGATGTGTATATTTTGGGTCCAAATGAGTCCAGGCTTTTGCTACCACGGTCCGATAGAGTGGACTGAAATTGTTGCTGCTTGGATTTCTGTTGTACAGAAATCACGAGTGAGTTAGGTACTGGGTGAGTAAAGAGAAATTCAGTTCCCTTGGGTGGAACATAATACTTATCTATTCTCTTAGTGATAGAAGAGATTGATGCCAGAGTTTGCCACACCATCTTTGCTGGTTCAATTATTGCTGGATTAACTGGCAGCGCTATTTTAGATGGTGTTACCGAGTACAGTATGTCAGTTAACTCAGGCTGATTCTCCACAGCCTCCTAAAGACGAATGTTTAATTCAGCAGCTATACGTTTTAAAAGGTCTTGGAAGTGTGCAGCATCATCTGAGGTAGTTGGAGCTGGGGGCACAGATGCTCCCTCCACTGAGGTGGGTTCATTTAGGTCCAGGGAGGCTCCCCTCTTGTGTGGGTGGGTCCCCTTCATCTATTTGTTTAGAAGGGAAATATTGCACTCTGTCATTTCTGGCCATGCTGGTGCTTTTCATAATATTGCCATTTGTCCCACTATTGCCAGTATGGCCCGGGAGGGGTACCCAGGGATTGCCATAATATGAAGGCATATTCCCAAATTCTTGGTCAGATTTGGAAGAGAAAATCGTCAGATCTGTATTAGGAGAATTTCTGGGGGGAAACCCCTACAAAATTCATCTTCAGATTCCAATTAAAATATATTTTCTGAGAAAGTGATCTCTTTGATGTTAACATGGCAGGAGAGCAATCAAAGTCTAAAAATGGTGAATTAAAGGTAGAGGAGACTAACAAGTCTCTATGCCGAGTATAGTGCACAGCTGGCATTGTCGGTGCTATAGCAGGAGGCATGGATGCTATTTGAGGGGTTGAATCATGCCTCGGTGCCCAGGAGACTAGAACCGCATTAAATGTCTCTGTGGTGGAGGCAGAGGCACCTGCTGATATGGTCGGTGCTGTGCTCTTATGCTGTGCCGACAAGACTGTATTGGTGCCAGGTGATGCTGCAGCTGATGAGGCAGGTAACTTGAAGCCTGATGCCTCAGAGTGTGATGCCGCATGTCTGTTAGCTACCCTGGAAGCTCCCAAGATATCCGGAGTATCATACATGTTGAGATGTGGTGCTACTGCTGTTTTTGGCACCGGCTGTGAGAGAGATGGCCATTTGGGTGCCATAGCACCTTGAGATAAAAAGGAAGCTCGCTTTTTGGTGGGCTTTTTTGGTTCCTCGCTATTTATGTTCCTCAAGCTGTTGGCCCAGGTCAAAAGCTGGTCAGAGAATTCTCAAATAAAAATAGCTTGAGATGGAGGTTTCTGTCTTTCTGTGCCCATGATTTCAACATTGCACAATGAGGGTATTTTTGAGAGAGATGCTGCTCTGAGGCAGTTGATGCATTGTGAATGCACATCCAATATGGGGATAGGCTCTTTACATGAGGAGCAGCATTTAAAACCTGGTGACCCAGGCATGACGCTGAAACTGCAGGAAGGGAGGGAAAAAAAACATACTAATCTAGTTTTTTTAAAGTTATCTAACAACAATAATAATAAACTGGGGAGAAAAAACTTAGTTTTGAATAGAGATAAGTATGTAGATGCAAAGAAGCTAGGTAGCACTTCTGAGTCCATTTGTAGCCAGAGGCGGTAGAGAAGGAAAAGAAGAGCGGGGGGGGGACTTGTGTAGATGCGATGCCTGCAATCTAAGAGTGTGCGGCTGCAGGCGCCCGCATGTGCGGCCCCAAGAATGCTGCTCTGAAATCTCCGATCTAAGGCCCGGCAGCAGTGCACTGACCAAATGTGGAGTACCCACACGGACAACTCTCCAAGAAGACGGAGCAGTTGTCTCCCTCAACCTTACCCCTCTGCCTAAAGATCCTATTCCTTCCAGGAGCACAGAGCCTGGCCCCCCTCGCGCCTTGTCCAGGTGCTTGGCAAGTCTGTTGGCCCCCCAATCTGGAGCACTGGCACTAATGCTGTGGTACAAAAAGGTCTAGTCTCCTGAGGGCTATAATACTCTGGACTTATTTTGGTTGTTGGGTTCATGTGTAGTGCTGATGGTGGCATGTGATATACATGAGGGCCACAGGGAAATGATTCATATTTTTTAAGTACAGGTTGTAAGCAGTTAAAATACTGATCTCTTACCTTTCAATTCAGCAAGAGAAATTATTGACTAATCATTTTTAACAAAAGGACAGGGCAAAGTAGAGTCAGCTCTTCA